TCCAGACAAAACAGGAGTACCTATCTTACATTACAACATACCAACGCACGACAGTTTTCGAGAAAACCCCGCTGACAGGATGTGTCCTGTGCAGCAGCATCTGTCCCACTATCCCTTTCTTGCTACTTCACATGCTCAGTCATTTCAGGGTAGGTAAATCGATTTAAGCATACGGCTGGTTGTTTTCGTTCCGACCGCGTGGAATGCGGGGGTAGCTTTTCTCCCAGCCTGTTGGCGCGCCTCAATTTCTGCAGGGGCCACACATGGACGTGGGCGGCCGGGCACTCATCATGTGTCAGTTTCCCACTGGCTGATACGCCCACGTCCCACTCCCCTCCCACCGAGCGTCTTTGGCACGCCCACGCCCTCTCCCCTCCCCCTCCCACTGACCGTCTCCGGCTAGGGTATCGTCAGCTGCACACTGGCCTCTCTTATGTTTTTCGCCAGCTCTTAACCCTATTAGTGGCAGGCTCCTGGCTACCCCATATTAGTGGCAGGGGGGGCTGTTTACGACCCCCCCTTGATATCTCGAGATCTAACCGGCCGATTTTCAAAATTCAAACGGCATTCGATTTGGCTCAACGAGATCTACATTTCTAAAAAAAAAAAAAAATTAAAAAATGTCAATAGGGGGGCAGAGGGGGGTAAAAACGGGCAAATTGCAGATACATTTTAGACTGTTTATCACGGCCAGGTTTCTGAACCAATCTTAACGCAACTTTTGCCGATCGATAGAGAATGAACCAGGAATTCACATGGATCCTAAAAATATGCATTTTCAAAAATCATAGGCGGATACAGATCATTGAGATTGGGGGTACACAAAAAGTATAGTAAATAAGGTTTTTGTTGGTACTGTTTCTAAAAAGGGTGGCAATGGTCTTGTTATGTTACAATTTTCTTATGAGAGAACGACTAAAATTGTATTGGTCATGCATAGGCGGTGTCAGGGCACCTATGTTGGGAGGTAAAAAATAACCCCCCTTTTTGGACGCCTGGATCCGCCTATTATAGCAAAAACGTGTCAAAAGAGGATGCACAATAACTTTGTATATGTTATCACATGATACCTTTCATTCACTGTTCGTAAAACTGGTGCAGCATCGTGATCTTCGCCCAAATGACTCGCTTCACGAATAGGACCCCCAATTCCCAGTGCTCTGGAGCCGCCCCTGGTAAAGTTATGAACTTGAAATTTTCAGAGAATGTGCCCAATTTAGTTTTAGGAAAAGTCAGAAAATTTCAGCATCGTAGCTTCAGCGGTTTCGGAGATATTCCCGAAAAACCTGAGGGGTGGATAAAAACACCCCCCCCCCCCTGCCACTAATAGGGTTAACCCGCGCCGTGCCGGAGGGCGTTTTTACTTCTTAAGGCTTTTCGCAAATATATCAAAAACTGCGGCGTTCAGCGCCACCGTTTTTGGTACACCTGTTCATACATCACTTTCACTGCACATGCTTCGAAAATTTCAGACCCGGGTCGTTCAAGGTCAGGTCACCAGGTCACGTCAAGTGACTTACCTCAGGAAAAGTTCAAAGGCTCCCCATAGCTACACCGACTGAACGATCACCTTGAAACTTTCAGCGATTGATATGAGTAACAGAAAAAAAAAATTACCGTTCCTATGAAAAGCTATATTTTATCCCGCGCTGGGCGGGAAAGGGGGTGTTTGAACATCGCCCTTGCGGTTTTTCGTGCAGATCTCAAAAACGGCGACGTTCAGCGCCGCCGTATATGGCACATCTGTTCATGAAGCTTTTCTGCACATGCTGTCAAAATTTCAGACCCAGGCATCTCAAGATCAGGTCACCAGGTCACCTGAAGTGACATCACCCCAGAAAAAAGTTAGAGTCCTCGTCATGGCTAGTAGCTACACCGACTGAACGGTCGCCTTGAAACTTCGGCGATTGATAAATAAGAATAACAGTACCTATATATATATACCTACCAAATGTATATCTCGGAATTTTGTTATTGGTGAGAAAAAAACAGGGAGTTGATTTTTTCCCCATTGACTTATAGGTAATTGATAATGGGGAGATCGAGAAATTGACCTGACCTTAGGTCATCGATATAAAAATTCCGAGATATACAAATTGTAGCTACCAATGACCTAATAACATCCTCCGACTTTCAAAGGACTCCGTCATCTACTGTAGCTCTGACACGGTGACAAAAATGCAAAAAAGTGACTTGAGGTTGGGCCATTCAAAGTCACTTGGTGACTTGACTTTTAAAGTTAGCAGGTTCAAACTTGCACACATGTGTAAAATTGATGAGGAAATAGTCATACCAAATTTCGCAGCGCTGCGCGCCGCAGTTTTCCCGCTATTCGCGAAAAAAAACCTCAGGGAGGGGGCGGATGACCACCCCCCCCCCGTCGGTGCGCGGGATAAATAAATAAATAGATAAATAAACAAATAAATAAATAAATAAATAAATAAATAAGTAAATAACTAAATAGATAAATACAGCTACGCCACACCCCCAACAATAGTGGGTCAAAAGTCAAAACCTCCCTGAGCAAAATCATGGCTACGTGCCTGAAAATGGTACCCGTGACCTCTCTTTATGTCCCTGAGGTCATATCAGGTCATGAAAGGTCCCCAGCAGTTTTTTGACAACTTTTGATAGAGACATGCTAGAGCAATGAAAATACTTGATGTGTTCAGCTCGACGATACGGATCGACTGCTATTTTCATTAAAACGTTATTTTGCGGAATTTTTGTCCTATGGACTCAATGGAGGTTAAACCGTTGAGCTGAGGTAAAATATGGAATGTGTTAGCGATAGAATGTTGAAAGAGTTATCGAATGCGCTTTTCCGCGGCGCTGTACGTAACTCTTTTGGTTCCCGAGTTATGCGCCGGGCTTTCGAAAATTGTTGAAATATGCAACATTTGACCTTTGTTGACCTCTATTGACCTGATCTTTGACCTCACCTAAAAAATTGACAGGAGTCTTTTTTTCAATATTTTTTTTTACATTCTTTCGAATGCCCGCTTACCGCGTGTCGCCGTGTCCCAGGAGCTGAGTTAGACGGGGAGGGGTGTTCAGACACCTCTCCCCGCACCGGGGCCGGGGAAGGGGAAATCGAAAATTTCAACTTTTTTGATTTTTAATAAACATATTCGGAACAACATTTTTTATCATCAAACTGTATTTCCGACATATTTTGGCCTTTCTTTGTCAACAATCGTTTGTCACATCTCTTCCGGCTGATTGTAGCCAGTCCAGGTCAGAGGCTAAGGCAGCTGTCTAACCAGGTCTGTTTTATCAGGTTAGGCCTGTTTTTACCTGCGACTGGTACCTTCTCATGAAGATCAACCAATGACCTAGGACCTTAAAATTGCAACACGCTCGTTTTTCCGCGAATCTCGTTCCATCAGGGGCCGAACGGCAAGGAGGTTCCAACGGATTCCCTTTACGTTAGAGGTTGGCAACACACCTATACGGGCGATACTCGATAGCACTTTAAACGTCTTCATGGTAAAAAGGTTCATATAGTGTGTGACAAATTATTGCCGGTAAAATAGTCGTGAGCTCTATATTATTCCAGGTCCCAGGAGCTTTGTTTCTGAGCATAAAACAAAGCTCCTGAGGAGCTTGTAGCACTACAAAGCGACGAATAGACTGTCGAAACTGGGATAACGTGGGCTTTGCGCTTACAGGGCTTCGCTCACTAGCGGTCCCGGTAGGGACCGAAAAGGTCGACCGTATGAACAAATAGAGGGGTGCTAGCCCATGCAAAAGTCGGTTGTCACTTCTTTCCATGCACTGCCATAGCCGTAATGTTGGCAGAATCTTACTATAACCGTTTTCACGACGGCCATTTGGTACACATTTGGTGCAGATCAGGTGCAGCTTTGGTCAAATTAGGCTCATTGTGTTTCCTTAAAGTTATCAGTATGGGTTGCAAAGATGCTTATATATTTCATTTTTTAAATTATGAAAAAATATTTTCACTGAAATAAATTCATGATATGAAGATATTTGTTGTAAAAGAGATTTGGTGCAGATTTCGTCAAATTTGGTGCATGCGCCAGATAGCCCGTCATAAAACCAGCTCATGCCTCGTTTCGGAGGGCCCGGATCCGCAAAGGCGCAGACTAACGGGACTTCATTTGCCGTCTATGACGGGCGTGAATTCGTCTCCATACCCTTGTCCATACCAACACACGACAGAAGCGGAGAGAAGCGAGTCTTCAACTGCGCTGAGTCACCCTCCGTAATCCTCACCGCCGGGAGCCGACCCCCGTCATTTGCCCTCCTGAGAGGGTCCAAATGGGACATAAATTCGCGGCCCCCTGTGCGCGCGTATAGTTAGATCACGCTCAGAGTCGCGGAGCTATCGACCGGAGCGAGTTGTGTGACGTACGCACAGAGGGGGGGAGGGGCAGTGCGGGGGAGGGGAGAGGGACGAAGGATGGATAGGACAGCGATGGTCTTCTGGGGTGGATGTCGTAGGATTTTCAGTTGCATGACTTGATTGATTACTGTATTCCAGTGTTCATCAGACCGAAACTCAATACAATTAGGTACTTTGAGCCTTTCTGATAACCTTATTGACAATCATATGGCTCCTTCGGCAATTTAAAATGCATCAGCTGATGCTGTTTATCAATTTAAGACTATCACCTCGTGTAAAATAATAGTATCTTCCATGTGTTTCCAGATCAATGGCGCGCGGTCGACCCACCCACAGCTCTCTCAGTATGACCTGCCTCAACACTCGCCCTGACCGAGACGAGCCCCCGCCTCCCCCTCTCCTTATCTCCCTCCCTCTCTCTCTCTCTCTCTCTCTCTCTCTCTCTCTCTCTCTCTCTCTCTCTCTCTCTCTCTCTCTCTCTCTCTCTCTCTCTCTCTCCGTCGGCACCGGCGATGAGTCATCGGTCGATGGCCGTACGCACGCGCGCCCCCGACGCGTCGAAGCCGACGAAGGAGCTCGCGCGTGGCCCGGCGTCGTCGTCGTCGGCGGCGGCGGCGGTGGTGGTGTGGCGGTGTGCGTGGCGGCGTGTGGGAGTTGTGAGAGTCGGTGTAAGAGTGAACAGTAGCGGTGGTGAGATGAAAGAGCAGCGGTGAAGTTGTGGGAAAGACAGCGAAAAAGGACGAGGAAGGAGCGAGAGGTGATTTCAGCACTGAATGGTGAGTTCGTAAAGATGCGAATGCAGTTTTATTTATCCAATGACGTTTTGTAGCCAATACGATAGTGTAGTTACCCCTGGCACGGATGTTTTTAGGACTAATTTATGTTCTCTTGGCTACCGAGAGTGACAGAAGTCTCTAGTCTCCTTCAACAGTTTTTCATGCAATTTTATTATTTTACGACTGTGACCGTTGCATACATAGAACTCGGTTCATCAATCGTTTGCCCGAAGCGATCCCCTCACCCCTGGTCCCGTTTATGCCGTATATAAGTTTATATTGATATTGACTGAGCCTGAGGCTGGATGCCGCCTCACGTGGCCGGTGCCGCCTCCTCCCTCCCTCCCCCTGCGGCCTCATCCCCCTCCCTTCAGCCCACGACCTTCGCTCGGCCCTCCTTGGTAGTTGGTGTCGCGCTTCTTGCAATGTGCCACTTGGTCCCACATACATACGAGGTGTAGTAACCTTTTATTAGATAACTGTATAGAAACGCAATATTACTATGGTGTAGCGTATATAGTAACGGCACGCAGTGAAAAACTTTAACCCTATTCCTGGCGGGGGGGGCCTCAGGAGCCCCCCCCCCCCTGAGGTTTTTTGGTTATTTCTCCCAAACGCTTTGAGCTAGGAAGCTCAAACTTTCTGACTTTTACTAAAAGGCTTTTACGCAACATTTCTGAAAATTTTGAGTTGATCTGACCTCAGGTCAGGTCACCAGAGGCGGTTTGGTGACCCTACCTCAGAAAAGTTTGCAATCACGCCAGAGCTAGAGTTTTTGACCGATCAATTTCTTCTCTTCAGGCTTTAGTTAGGGTACCAGTATGTGCAATTTGTATATCTCAGCATTTTCATATCTGTGACCTGAGGTCAGGCCAGACTCGTGACCTTTACATTGCAAGCCTATGGGAAAATATTGAAACGCCTCCTGCTTCGTGTAAACGAGTCAAAACCACCCAATTATTTCAGTATTATGGAAGATTATTTTATCGGTGATGATCCTGGTGCCGCTTATTGACAGGAGCACCGGCAAAGGTCATCTGAGGTCATGTGACGTCATAAATCGTTTTTCTGTAAATAAATCACGACATGATGGTGCTAAAGACTTGTAAGTGGTACCAAACTGCTTGCCTGGTCAAGGCGCGTCGTTTGGTATGCAGCATGACCATACCCCACAACCTCATTGATGAATGACCTGACCTTGACCTCAGGTCAAATTTCAAATTGACCTGTGAAGGTCATCACATACTTATTTCGCATCGCCTCGGCGAGAGCAACAAAAAATGTATTGGTTTTATGTCTCTATGTTTCTTAGTTTAAAAGTTATATAGGTAACTAATTCCAAAACATTTTATCGTTGATGACCTCTGGTGACCTCAATACTGACCTGACCTGAAAATGTTTTATGTAAAAGTTGTAGATCTTTAAACGACCTATCAAACACCGTTCGCCGTTTGTCGCTGCGATGTGTAGTTTTTGAGATCTGAAGGGGGGCCGAATCGCCCCCCCCCCCCCCCGCCAGTTTCTTGTCCCGGCGGAGCCCGCCAGGAATAGGGTTAAATCTACATATATGTAGAAAAGAAGAGAGAGAAAAAACGTGATGTCTCCTATGTCTTTTGAAGCGACATCGACGGAGTAGACATCTTCAGGCTTGGCAGCGGTCTCGAATGGTTCTTTAGGGATTCCTGAAGCCAGCATCGATCACCTATATGCGTCAGAGTTCCGGTGGCGCAGCTGTGCTGACGGAAAACATACGGCCCGCTGAGACCGGGGATCCCCGGCCAGACGGCTGATCGATTTAGGCAATTTAGGCAATTTAGGCAATAAGGTTATCGACAAGGAGAAGGCATGTTAGACACGGTGAGGGGTGATAGATGAAAACTTATTGTCGATATTATTCTGCCCTGAAAAATGACACCATCCTTCAAAACACTCGCTATCACGTTGGTGTAGAACAAGTTGTGAGCGTGTGACATGCAGCTACCGCTCTGTTATACCTACCTACCTATAAACTTTTTTTTAAGCAAAAAATGCGCCTGAAAACGAAGAATTCGTGCGTCTCTTGACGATATTATTACATATGAATGAAAGAAAAATTAAGCAAGTTATATTCACCATAACGATGGCTCGAACGTTTTTGTAAATCCATACATCTTTCACCGTTATAGACGTGGCCATTGACATCAATACCCCTCTAGAGAGCTGACATTTCAAAGCATATCTACAGGGTGTTTCATAAAAAATGTCCTGATTTGTTTTGCTTATAACGAAAAATCTAATAGTCACATATCCAGCCACAATGGTTCAAACGATTCCACAAGGAATGGAGATTTATTACATACATATCACGAACATGAATCATGCGTTCAGCGCCGCTCACAGCACGTTCTCGAGATGTCCTCCTTTTCGGAGCAGACATACGTCGGCCCGTTTCGCCACGTGCCCGATAACTCGGGCGCATGTGGCGGGCGTGATCGCACGCACCTGGCGTCTGATCGCCCGCTTGAGCTCTCCGAGACTCCCCGGGCTCCCGCTGTACACTCTGGACTTAAGAAAACCCCACAGGTAAAAGTCGAGGGGTGTCAGGTCAGGGGAGTGAGGGGGCCAGGGAGTGTCCGTTCCGCGGCTGATGATCCTCTCTCCGAGACGCTCCTGGAGCCACTGGAGGGCCATCTTCAAGGTGTGCGGGGTGGCCCCGTCCTGTTGGAACCAGATATCGTCACCACCTGAAGTCGAGCCTTCTTGCACTGTGGCCCAGAAGCGTTCCAGGATGCGGACATAGCGTTCCTTGTTCACCGTTTGAGTGCACCCGTTGCCGTCTTCGAAGAAGAATGGCCCGATTATTCCGGTGGAGCTCATTGCGCACCATACAGTCACTCTCGGGCTGTGCAGTGGGACTTCCAGCAACGTTTCGGGTGGTGCCGAGGCCCATATACGGCAGTTCTGGGTGTTCACCTGTCCAGTAAGGTGGAAGTGGGCTTCATCGCTAAACCAGACCCCATCCAAGAAGCCAGGATTAGCGGCAGTCTGGTCCTTGAGCCACTTTACGAAGGCCACTCTCTGATGTTTGTTGTTCTCCGACAGCTTGTGATGCACTGTCACTTTATATGGGAACAGTTCGAGGTCCTTTCTCATTATTCTCCGCACCGTTGAGTGGCTTGTGCCAACTTCTTGGGCGATTTTCCTGATGGACTTCTTGGGGTCCCCATTGACTACGGACTTCACCTTGGCGATGTTTTCGGGGGTCCTTTGTGTCGTTGGCCGTCCACTTTTCCCTTTGTAGCAATTGAGGATAGACCCATCTCTTAGGAACTTTTCTTGCAAACGCAGGATTGTTTTCGGGCACGGTGTGAATCGGGTTTTGAAGTGAGCCCTAAACTGTCGCTGTGTTAGAATGATAGAACGTGACGACCAGTAAAACTGAACCAGTTTTGTTTTTTCTTCCTTACTCAGATGCTTCATGGTGAGAAGTGAGCTAAGGTGCGTGAGGAAAATTTCCCGTGCACGTGCTTTCGATTGCAGTGAAAAAAAAAACACGTGATTGCAATTAATAGGGCACCCCAAAATGCAATCAAAACCAGGACATTTTTTATGAAACACCTGTACGAGGCCCCATCTCCGGCTAGGAAGGGGGGCACCTCGGGCGGTGATCTATATACTCTGCCTCGGGCTGCCGCTATCGCTGCCACGAGCCCGGCATTGCTCCCGAGGGCACACTGGGTCGGCTGACGGGTCTGTTCTATGACTATCGCACTGACCCTCCGTGGTGACGACATGCGAATGTTCAACTGCAGGATAACTATTTTACCCCGGGATCAGCGAGTTGGGTGTCGTTTGGTCTGTATAGGTATGCTGTGATAGAAATGAGGTCTGCCGGCTCGACATGCCTTAGCACATTCCACGCCTAATGGGTGGGTTTCTTTAAAAGTTAACGTTATGCAAAGTTGACTAATGTAACATCTATGTAAAAGGAAACAGTAAAATTAACGGGGAAAATTGCCTTCTATTTGCCTACCTACATTTTGGTAAAGATCACGAAAAAGTGCGATAGAAGCAACGAAAGCTTCTTTTTTTTCTTTTGCGGATGCGCTGAGCAGATATGTTGCTTATACGCAAAATTCGTACATATACCTATTAGTTTCAAATGCAAAATAGTCATAGCGAAGCTTAGGCCTCAGATGAAGATATGATAATGCCTGAAATAAATGAACCATGTGACATGCAATCAAAATAATACTTTAGTAAGTGCCATTTGCTGCCACAATGCCGCTGCATAAGATGCCAACAGTTTACATTTTTCTTTTTCTTTTTCATCAGCTCTCTATCATCATGATCTCTAGACGCCCGTGGCCCGCCCGGTGGCCTCACCACTAGTGCCCCCTATCGGCGAGTTGTCGGCGATCTGCGCGCCATCTGTGGGCGACCTGAGAATGTTAGCATGCTGGCCAGCCCGGAGAACACGGACGACCTGGGCGAGAGCACCCCCAGCGGCTCGGTGGACGGAGACGAGGTGCTGCTGAGGCGGCAGGCCCTGCATGACGTGAGTTCCCTATTACACTGCACGTGATTGCACTGTTTGCATATATGTAAGTAGCTATGTGCCGGCGATAATGGAAAGGTAAATAATGAACTTTCCCATTATGTTGTCGAATGTTGGCAGTTACCAATCACCTACGAAACCATAATGAATGTTTTACCTTATATTCATCTGCATTTTCTACAGATGCATGCATAAGGTTTGTTATCCTTTGATGAAGAGTCCCTTCCCCGGCTCGGCCTTCGATAAAGGAATAGGTATGCATTACCAACAATAAGTATAATGTTTGTCTTTTATCTCAAGTGTAGGTAATGCACGTAAAAAGAACGTCGAATCATAAAATTGTTGAGTTTGGCACAGTGTGATCAGGTGCTCATCAGATTCTCCTCTGTTTCAGAACTTACGGGATATATTTGATAAGGTAAGTTATCAGTGTTACAAATATTTGTGTATTGAGATTGGCGTGTGTTGCATATTAACCCGCGCCCCACTGGGGTCTGTGTATAACACGCCCTACTGGGGGGGAGCTATTCATAGCCCCCCCTCCTAACTCCAAAACTACTGGGCCGATCGTCAAAATTCAAACGGCGTCTGATAGCCCCGGAAACACTGTCGAGCGAAACCTAATTTCATTGAACTCGAGGTCACCGATGACGTCACAGGTCAGGTCAAAGTAAAAATTATTAGCATTTTGGCTTGTTCACATTTTGGGCTCTGGCCGCCGTCTTACAAGTCAGATCAGGCTCATTTTTTGTTTCCACACTCGTGAAGAGATGCTCTAGATACTTTGAGGGTACCAAACTTGTACTTTGATTTTCAGGTCAGGGTCAGGTCATCACAGGTCACGAAAATATTATATCATGCGTCGGTCACGTGACACATGTTTTATGGTCCATTTAGGCCATAGATTTCAAATTTGATGTCGTCTGTGTCATTCGAGGTCATTTGGAGTCGAATTTCGCTTAGGTCAGGTCACTTTCAGGTCAAAAAAGGTCAAATTTTGAAGTTTACATTTTTCAACAAAAAAGGTGTCTAATGGATGCAGTTTGAGCTCAGGAACACGATGGTGCCATTTATATTGGTGTACGATGTCAAATACGTACTGAAAAATTGATTTGAAAAATTAATAATTGTGAATTTTTTGCAATAATGCGTATAACTTGGCCATTTTTGAAGATATTTAGCTAAAACTTGCTAGAGTTAGTCAACATTATGCGTTCTGTCACATATATTCCGGTTTTTTCGAAAAGTCAAAAACTTTTTGAAAAAATATAAAAATATACATTTTGAAAATTATTATATAAAATTTTCGAAATTTTCAAAATTTTGAAAATCCGAGATAGCAGTTTGATAGCGCGGTCAATTCTGAGTCCTTTCATGCAAAGAAATTGGATCTAGCTTAAAAACTGAGCTCTTGGGAGCGATTGCCGTGGTTCAATGTTTTGCGTCGAAATCGGACGAACATGACGTCACTCTGACGTCATTTCCGGCCGACCTATGGTAGCTACAAAGTTCAAATTTTGACACAAGGTGTCAAATTGATGCAGCCGAAGGTCCTGAAAGTTTGGCGTCGATCCGTCAAGCGGTTTGGAAGTTATTGCAGAAAAACGGGAGGGGGGGCTATAAATAGCCCCCCCCCCAGTGGGGCGCGGGTTAAAAGTACCTAATTCGCATTGGTATTTATTGAACGTTGCATGTAACTGAACACGTTTTCGTAGCTTCACCATTCATAGCTCTCGTTATTATCTCTATAATCCCGTTCTTCATTGAGCTATAGATCAATCGACCGACTTTGACCGTAGTGTAATACATAACATAGTGATATCTATTACATTGTACTTTGACCTGACGTTGACATTGTCAACACCCAAAGTGACTTACAGAAGAAAATATTAGCAATATGGATTTAAAACGTCTCGAAGCAAAGAACCAGGTACTTGGTGTAAGTTTTGAACAAAACCGTGATGATGTGGCCACTTTTTGGCCAAAGCTGTATGTATAACAAGAAACCGGTTGTTTGTTTGTTTTTGTTTTGTTGGGTTAGGCCCCTTCGGTCTGAAAAGACCATTTCAGAGCCGGAAGAATGATAGGAATTAGGGGGAGACATTGGTCTGGGCAGGCACTCTAGAGAGTCGCCGGGGCTGAGCACGTCCCAAAGGACAGGCCGACCCCCCCCCCCCAAGCACTCTCTGCACCCGACTACGGGGTGCACTCCCTTGGGAGCATGAGATAAGGTTGCCTGTCCAGCCCGGATTGAGGGTTGCAGCGTGAAGGAGAAGGATTTGAATGTCCTGAGGATGGAGACGACGGACGGGTGAAAGAAACCGGACCAAAGGTTGATCGGGTTTAGAACGTAAATGCCCTGCTACTCTATTTCTAACGTTTATTAATGTTCTTGCATTGCTAGCGGAAATGAGATAGCTGTTGTTTTAAAAATGTTTTAGAGTTCATCCTTTCAGATGAAACCTATTGATTGAAATCGACTTCCTCTCCTAGAAAACAGCACGACCTTTATACCGCGATGCTCAAGACAAGTGTTCAGTCAAAGATGAGCAAACGTGAGGGAGGGGAAAGGAGCGAAGGTAAAAGGAAGATCGTACTTTCACCCCTCCCCCTCCCCCTATTGTGAAAAGATGACGGATGACGGTAAAAGATAATTGATACCTTTGATAGGCTCACGGCCCAAAATTCCTCCAGACACCCTCGAATCGTCAGGCATTGCCACGATCCAATGTGACGTCCCCTTCTGCGCTAGTGGCGCCGTCTCATCACTTCGTCGAATCATTAGTTCGCCTCCTCGTCACCAGGTGATCGCTCAGCCTAGTGCGCGGCTTCCCAGCCGGGAATATCTATTATCTATGGACGGCTGTATCTGCAAGCACAGTGCGAAATTTAACAAATCTTCAAAGATAATGATACTTATAATGATAATGATAATGATACACAGTGACGTTGTCTTTATAGCTTGAAAAATAATGATAAATAAATTAATGTGATCCCGAGAGTCCGACCATCGGTCATCTATCCGTGACGATTACGTGACAAAAGATCGTAAGACAAAAGATCGTATGGAAAAAGATCATAGGAAAATGATCGTAAGATAAAGATCGTATGTTGTAAAATGTCGTACGACAAAATATCGTAAGCAAAAGATCGTAAAGCAATTGATCGTATGAGAAAGATCGTAGGAAAATGATCGTAAGACGAAAATCGTATGTCGCAAAAGATCGTGCGACTAAATATCGTAAGCAAAAGATCGTAAAGCAAAGGATCGTATGAAAAGGATCGTAGGAAAATGATCGTAAGATAAATATCGTATGTCGCAAAAGATCGCACGGCAAAAGACCGTAAGCAAGAGATCGTAAAGCAATGGATCATATGAATAAGATCGTAGGAAATTGATCGTAAGATAAAGATAGTATGTTGCAAAAGATCGTACGCCAAAAGATCGTAACGCTAAGTTCGTAAAGTAAATAACGGTATAGAATAGTGTTGTAGGTAAATGATTGTAGCATGAAGCCCGTTAGTCGCAAAATATTCTACGAAAAACCGTCACGTGCGTGTGCTGCTGTGACCTGTGGGGTGCCCCTTTTGGGACTTGGGGTGCTCAAGTCTTATTGGGGGTGCCCAATCTAGCAATTGGGGTGCTGAAGCACCCCCAATGAATGTACAAATTCACCCACGCTTAGGTCACCTAATATAAACAAATCCGAGATATAAAAACTAGGAATGTTTATGACGTCATGTTGTCCACTAACTTCGAAAGTTTTCATGCCAACAATTATATAAAGAAAATCACAATTATGAGTGTGACTACCATGGGCTTCGATGCTGGAGCATGGGTGTGGATTTTCAAAAAAAAAAAAAAACGTTGGGGCGTTGCAGGCATAGGTGTGTCCCTCACGGCTGGGTGTGCCCCCTATGGCAAAGAGGGCCCTCACATTTCACATGTTACCAATAATATCGTACTATTTTAGTGGGCTATTCATATTTCATAATACATCGAAGGCATCAAGAAATCAATAGCAATCCTGTAGAGATTGTTTCAAGATTTGCATTTTGCAATCGTGGTAGCGGAATATCGACAACATTTTTATTTTAGGAGCAAAAGGTGGTGTCGCAGCCTTTTGCTTTCCAGCCACCACCCCCTCCCCTACCGGGCGCCGCAAGTTGAATCGCGAGGGACACCACAGGTCTAACAGAGGCACCACAGGCCTGGCAAGGGCACCCACCATCAGCCTCGCAGGGACACATTGGGCCTGTCAGGTGCACCACGTGCCAGTCAGGGGCACTTAAGACTTGTCACGGGCACCTCAGTCCTGTCAGAGCCCAAGGGCGCCAGCGGCCTAGAAGGGGCACCACAGGCCTGCCATGGGCACCACCACAGGCCTGTCAGGCACCACCAACCTCGCAAGGTTACCACGGGCCTGTCAGGGACACCACCAGCCTCTCGTTGGCACTTCAAGCTTGTCAGGAACACTACAGGCCTGCCAGGACCCATGTGCAAAAAAAAAACTGAAAATAGGGCAGCACCTAAATGAAGTGGTCGAAACCGAAATTCGAGATCCGTTAAGTTTTTTTTTTTTTTGGGGGGGGGGGGGGTTTTAGGTAGGGGCACCACTTCGATTCATTATCCTCCCCTCGGAGTTTTCCTGGATCCGCCCCTGTACATACGTACATGCGTGCATGTGCACCTGGGGGCTTTGAGGTGCCCCTTTGGGGGTGCAGAAGCATTATTAGGGATGTAAAAATGATAAACACATCCACACCCATGTGCTAGAGCCTCAAAGAAAGGAACAGACAGCTGAGTCCTTTCTGTCAATGCGGATATTTAAGCTTCAGCTAATAGCCATCTAAGGTCTGAAATAACATCAATGTATGGTCGAGCTTACCACGGCCACTTACTACGCGAACACATAAATTGATAAGCTTTCAGGTATTGACGAAGTGTCATTTCTAATCTTCCTCAGGTAAATTATAGTAATTCGTATTCGTTTCGGGCTACACTGAGGTTAAAAAATTGTTAAAAACCAAATATTTCGGCTTTATTGAGTAGCCTTGTTCACTGGTTCACTTGTTCACTGGTCAAAACCAGTGAACAAGGCTACTCAATAAAGCCGAAATATTTGGTTTTAAACAATTTTTTAACCTCAGTGTAGCCCGAAACGAATACGAATTACTGATAAGCTGCGCTAGAGTCGGGCTATACCATGTGAATACCATATTTTGACTGTACAATCTTTATCTCATACGATCATTTGGCGTACGACCATTTACGTCGACGATCTTTTGCGAATACGATTTTTCGTCCATACGAACATTATACTGTACGATCTTTATCCCATACGATCTTTTTACATACGATCATTTTCATTGACGATCTTTTGCGAATACGATCTTTTGTCCATACGAGCATTATGTCGTACGATCTTTATCCATTACGATCTTTTGCATACGATCAACTTCCTACGATCTTCTGCCATACGATCTTCTGCTTTACGATCTTTTGTCCGGTTACCACCCGTGACAGTCACCCTCTGCGGGGTGACTGTTTGAGCGGCAGGGCGGGCTGTCCTATCGGGACCGTCCCGACTCCCGTCCCGCGGGACGCTCTCTGCCGCTGCGGCGCACCGTCGCGTCGGTGGTCCACACAGTCCACTGTCTACACTCCTCTCTATCAGCTCACTGCTCTGCAATAGCCCTTTAAAGGGACCCTCCCACCTTCAAAAAAGTTAATGAATTGGCATGAAAGTGATGTCCCTTGGTTCAGAAAGAGCGAAAACGAATATCTACCAAATTTCACCGAAAAATATTCACTAGTTTTAAGATACTAGGCTTTTACTTTTGCTTACTTTTTGGGATCTCCCCTGTTACTAGCGACTTTATTTGGAAGCAATAATTTGGCAGCCTTAAAGTGCGGCAGACGTTGCGCGCAAAGCAGCGTATACCACCACGTGTTAACGATGGTTTTAGTCTTTAAAAATCGTTAGATCTCCACTGACGTCACAAATTCTAAGGGGGCATTCCAATGCATTAGCCCCTTAGAATCCGAAAACTGCAAGTTTGAAATTCCATATCTTCGAATTAAAGCATTTTTCGATGTTGTGAGTGCCCAAACCGGTATTTGCAGGCCATGGCCACCAATTTGGCTATCTCAACTCAAAACTAATGTTAAGGTGGGAGGGTCCCTTTAACCCTCGCCGGACCTATTGGTTTTCTACATACGCGCCGGCCGAGGGGGGGGGGCGGGTACGACCCCCCCCTCGCCGTTTCGCCCCTGGTGGAGCTAGCGCGTCGCGGAAAAAACGAGCGTGTGCGCCGTTACGAGACGCAGAGATTAGTACCCGATTTTAAGGTCCTAGGTCAACCGGTGACCTCTGAGGTCAGGTCAAGTGCCCCAGGGTACGGTTCAGTTTTTGGTGAATAACTTCGCAAAAAACGGCTGCAGAGCCGCGATTTCGGCAGCATCGTGTTTGCCTTGCTCAGGCGCGTCGAATGATATACTTTTTGTCCGGGTCAGGTCAACTTGGGGTGTTGACCTCAGGTCAAGGTCAGGTCAGCACCCCCAGGTCACGAAGTTGGTCGAAAGAGGTCATGTCGCATATCATTCGATTTGTCAGGTCTTCCTGAGTCCATTGGTGGCTTTCTCGACTCGCTAGCTCAATTTGATCAAGAGTTATTGACGAAAAACTAATATGACCTTGATGACGTCATAAATGACGTCACGCAAGGTCAACATTGCAAAAGTGACGCATCTAACCTTGCAAGGAGTGCATCAAATCACGATTATGTGTGCTTGAGATAGTTGGAGATCGTTCCCGGCGCCAGATTAGCAGTTTTCATTTTTCCCCATTGACTTATAATGGTGAGGTCACGAAAATGACCTGACCTCATATGACCTTTAGGAAAAATCCGAGATATACAAGTTGTGAGACTCATAATGGATACTAGATCCTGCAAGTTTCATTTCCCTGTTACATCTCCTCTGGCAGTGAGGGCGTTGCGAAGTTGCGACATCTGAAGACCGTGCAGAGGTTCACTTATGACGTCATAGGTCAGTGACCGGACCTGACCCAAAAATGCGGTTGGTGTCAAAAGATGCGGCTTGGATCAAAGGTCAGGTATGCCAAGTTTCAGCTCTCTATCGCCAGCGTGTTCGGAGCTATCGCGAAAAAAAACCCTATGGGGGGGGGCGGCACCCGCCCCCCTCCCCCCTCGGCCGGCGAGGGTTATTAAGGCGCAAGAGCTCGCTCCCAACAAAACAATATAGCAACGCCAATCAAGGTTGTAGGTACGTACGTCAGCACTTCAGATTTGTAATCAGCTGATCTTGTTTGCTCGCTTGCTTGCGAGCAAACATAATGGTTTCCGCGATATAGCTACATCTATCATAAACATCATGCATCATGATATTATTGCACATAGGTATTGACTTCAGCAAAAGGACACAAATACACATATTGACTCACAATGCGAGACAACCCAGCATGTAGTTCGAATTCTTTCAACTGCATTGCAGCTCGAATCACTGTCAGCTTCAATAAGAATACTTGCTTTAATCTGCTGATAAAAACCAACAAATAACGCCAGTCACGAATCATTATTTTTACCAAAGAAAGCCGGCAGTCGCCGACTAATTGCCCCGACAGCGGCGAGTTTCTGCTCTAAAAGTTCTCGTTTTGCCACACCCGTTGGCGTTTTTCACGATTCCGACGTGCAGAGCTCAGGCTGCTGCCCATCCTCCATTCACGAAGTGCCAGCAATGGCGGAGCCAGGAGGGAGCCATGGAAAGGGCACCGCATTGGTCCGATACTAAACAGAACACTGAAGGAATAATTATAATACTAGTTAAGCAAAAGATGCAAATCGATAGGGTGATAAGAAATATAATTAGTTCATGGACGAGTCGGCGATTTGACTGTAACCGTGTCCGTGTACCCCTCTCCCCTCGCGAGTCCCGCCCCTTGGTGCGCCTCTGGCACTGGTGCTGCCTCTCTGGACAGTAATCCTAATTTCAGTCGGTGTTTCGATGGGGCTGAGCGGGCCGGTTGCCATTTTTGTCGGACTGCTGAGACTGTGCTCACGCGCCGGGGATTAGAGCGGACGGACGGTCGGACGGACGGACCACCCCAGTCCGAGCCGAGCGGCTGGACGGCGGTGATGGACGTGATTCGCGGCCATTCATGATAGTTCGATAATTTTTTTATTTTGCAAACCTCATTTGTATCGTACACTCAAAACAGCAATGAAATGCATATTTTTAGATTTTTCATTCCTTTTTCCAATATCTATTGTCAATGTTCAAGAAAATGTTGACATTAAATGTACATACCTAATGGCTGTTGTCAATAGCGCAAATATTCACGATCAAAACTTTGGTGCGGTTGAACTATCAAATGGGCATCTTGACTATCAAAGCGTCTAGAACCCTTCGTTTGTGCCTTTCCTTTCAACGTATTCAGATTACATAAATGCCAATATTGTTCATTTCCCAGGGCTTGCCTATTACCAAGCTCGTTAATCGTTATAGTAAAAAACGATTAAGTTAAGTTATCAAAAAAGTTATAAAATAGCCGCAACCTGACGCTTAGCTTGCCCATGTTGTATTTACTCACGGGCCGCGGTGCTGACACTAACTTCTTCTGACCTGTCAGGTCGACCTCCTCTGACCTTTGACGCCGACCCCTAACACTAATCTGTGACCTTTGACATTGACTTGTGACATTTGACCTGTGATTAGTGACCTCTGACCTCTGGCCTGTTCACGTGAACCGGGAGGAGTTCGGAGAGGTGCTGACACTGACCTCAGACGCTGACCTCCGACACCAATATGTGACCTCTGGCACTAATCTGTGACCTCTGATATTGACCTCTGACCTCTGACCCTCTGACCTGTTCAGGTGGACCCGGAGGGGTTCGGAGAGGTGCTGACACTTACCTCTGCCACTGTACTCCGACAGTAATATGTGACCTCTGATATGTGACCTCTGACCTCTGATCTCTGACCCTCTGACCCGTTCAGGTGGACCCAGAGGGGTTCGGAGAAGTGCTCGCCGTCGACTTTCTCCGGGCGATGAGCTCTGCTGAGTTTGTGGAGTGTGTGGACGTGGGCAAACGAGTTCAACTGGCCGACCGGATCCGCTCTGGGGAGTTGGAGCTGGTCACCTACCAGGAGTTTGTCAACGTGGTGAGTACCGCTGGTCCACTCTGGGGAGCTGGAGCTGGTCACCTACCAGGAGTTTGTCAACGTGGTGAGTACCGCTGGTCCGCTCTGCCGGGAGTTGGAGCTGGTCACCTACCAGGAGTTTGTCAACGTGGTGAGTACCGCTGATCCGCTCTGGGGAGCTGGAGCTGGTCACCTACCAGGAGTTTGTCAACGTGGTGAGTACCGCTGATCCACTCTGGGGAGTTGGAGCTGGTCACCTACCAGGAGTTTGTCAACGTGGTGAGTACCGCTGCAGTCGGATCCGCTCTGGGGAGTTGGAGCTGGTCACCTACCAGGAGTTTGTCAACGTGGTGAGTACCGCTGGTCCGCTCTGGGGAGTTGGAGCTGGTCACCTACCAGGAGTTTGTCAACGTGGTGAGTACCGCTGGTCCGCTCTGGGGAGTTGGAGCTGGTCACCTACCAGGAGTTTGTCAACGTGGTGAGTACCGCTGGTCCGCTCTGGGGAGCTGGAGCTGGTCACCTACCAGGAGTTTGTCAACGTGGTGAGTACCGCTGGTCCGCTCTGGGGAGTTGGAGCTGGTCACCTACCAGGAGTTTGTCAACGTGGTGAGTACCGCTGGTTCGCTCTGGGGAGTTGGAGCTGGTCACCTACCAGGAGTTTGTCAACGTGGTGAGTACCGCTGGTTCGCTCTGGGGAGTTGGAGCTGGTCACCTACCAGGAGTTTGTCAACGTGGTGAGTACCGCTGGTCCGCTCTGGGGAGCTGGAGCTGGTCACCTACCAGGAGTTTGTCAACGTGGTGAGTACCGCTGATCCGCTCTGGGGAGCTGGAGCTGGTCACCTACCAGGAGTTTGTCAACGTGGTGAGTACCGCTGATCCACTCTGGGGAGTTGGAGCTGGTCACCTACCAGGAGTTTGTCAACGTGGTGAGTACCGCTGCAGTCGGATCCGTTCTGGGGAGTTGGAGCTGGTCACCTACCAGGAGTTTGTCAACGTGGTGAGTACCGCTGATCCGCTCTGGGGAGCTGGAGCTGGTCACCTACCAGGAGTTTGTCAACGTGGTGAGTACCGCTGGTCCGCTCTGGGGAGTTGGAGCTGGTCACCCAGGAGTTTGTCAACGTGGTGAGTACCGCTGCAGTCGCAGGAGCTTGCCTACCGTTAGTAGCTACAATTTCTTTAAGACAATTTACTCTGAACGATATGTATTTTTTGTAATTATTGTTTGCCTTGTTCGATGCCTTTATGTAATTACAAAATATTAGGTACATAGTCCTTTTTTAATTTGTTTACCCTATTCGCATCTTTTGCATACTAAAATCGTCCGAAGCAGCAATTTTTTGTAGGATACTCATTTAATCGGCAGTCTGCTTTGTTATTTGATTGAAAATAACTGCATAGCCAATTTTTACACATGTTCGAATAAGTAATACCTGCTAGTCAAGTAACTGATGTGTCAAACCGATTAGTGAGACCACAGCAAGTGCTAAAATATGATGAACAAGGGGCAGTAAAAATCGTAAACCAAGCAGTATATGCGGCCGTAACCGATAACTTTAGGCATTTTGTGCATCTTACAAAGCGATTAAACCCTTTTACCTGATTGGTCCTCTGGGTTGTACTTACAAGCCCCAATCATGGATTACTCTCGGATTACAAACCGAATTACAAGCCACAAACCACCATATTATCTCGTGGTCTCGCCTAAACCTATTTGAACATCCGAAACACATCGAGAACAACAGGCTTCGTGACGGCATAAGCTCGCACATGAACTCTTCTCCGCCTCGAGCGAGGTATCCGACAAAGCATATAAAACTTGCACGTGTGTCGAGACTTTGGAAAAGAGCTGCTGACGTGCCATGGCACGGCAAACGTGACAAACACCTTATGTACAGATGAAACATATCGCACTTGTGTCGCCTTCGCCGAAACGCTGCTGAAATGTTTCGGGGAAGATGTCCTGCACCCTCTGTCCTCGTGCCATTTGTCGTTTCGGATGTTACTCACTGCTCACAGGTCCATTTCCAGCCAACCAGCTGTAATGAACGAGCGGCAAATGCACCCATTAGGCGAGACACTGGAGAGCGTACCGGGTGAAAACAAAATATCATAATTTGAAATCAATTCGGCGAATCCAACTTTTCAGTGTTTCTGACTAAAAACAAATACGGGTATTATTTTAGGGGTAAACGCAAGTATTTCGCTTACTGCCACTCACGATTTTCTTTTAACCCGCGCCGTGCTGGTGGCCTGAACTTTCCGCCGAGTGCTGGGGGGGGGCGTTTTCACGCCCCCCGTCTAACTCGGCTCCTGGGCCACATAGCGACACGCGGTAAGCGGCAATCGAAAGAGCGTCAAAAATAAGGACGAAAACACTTCGGTCATTTTTTGGGTCAGGTCAAAGGTCAGGTCACCAGAGGTCACCAAAGGTAAAATGTTGACTATTTCAACATTTTGGAAACTGCCAACGGCTATCTCGGGAACCGATAGAGCTACAGCGCCGCGGAAAAGCGCATTCGATAGCCCTTTTACAGACCTTTCTGAGTAATGTTCTCAGATTTGACCTCAGGTCAACGGTTTAGCCTCCAGAGGGCAAAAACTCCAAAAATAGCCGTTTTTACGAAAAACGTTTTTTCGTCAATAACTTTTGACTCATAAGCGCCATGACATTACTTTTGCCAGCATCGTGTTCCTCTCGTCGAGACGCGTCGAATGAACTATTTGTTGACCTTGAAAGGTCATTTTGAAAATTTGACCTCAGGTCAAGGTCATGACCTGACCGAAAAGGGTCATGTTGCATATCAGTCGATCCGTATCGTCGAGCTGAACACATCTGACGTGTTTTCACCGCTCTAGCACGTCTCTATCAAAAGTTATAGCCAAAAAACTGCTGGCGACCGTTCATGACCTGAGATGACCTCAGGGGCACACAGAGGGGTCACAGGTGCATTTTTCCTATTCAGTGTGTCATGTTTACCTATGAACCGATGTTTGAGAGCGTTTTGAACGATATTCGTCCAAAAGAGGCGCATTTCAATTTTCTCCCATTGACTTATAATGGAGAGGTCGCAAAATTGACCTGACCTTAGGTCACAGATATCAAAAATCCGAGATATACATTTTATACATACTGTTACTCATATCAATCGCTGAAAGTTTCAAAGTGATCGTTCAGTCGGTGTAGCTATAGCGAGCCTTTGAACTTTTTCTGAGGTAAGGTCACTTGACGTGACCTGGTGACCTGACCTTGAACGGCCTAGGTCTGAAATTTTCACAACATGTGCGGAAATGATGTAGGAACACGTGTACCAAAAACGGCGGCGCTGCGCGCCGCCGTTTTTGAGATATTCGCGAAAAACCTGAGGGGGGGCGTAAAAACGCCCCCCCCCCCCAGCACGGCGCGGGTTAAAAGGATACCTATCTTAGCGCTAAAGCAAAGCTAGCGTGTTGGGGGCTGGCCTATTTTTACTGCATGCATTTCATGTTTCAGAGAAGTCGGTTATGCAAATTGAACAGGTGCTCCCGCTGAACAGTCACCACACGGATGTGCTAAGACAGCGATGTCACTGATATTCCTTAACTCCATCCGATCACAGCTAATTTTGGGATTTCTCGCGGCGGCATAACGCGTGAATAGATCTCAACGTCAGACCGGGATGTTTCACAGTTCCCAGTACCTACTGCATCCAGACTGCATTTCTGGTTTGTCGAACTGGTGATATGACTTCACCATGACACGTCACCCAGCTACTGAACACGCGGCTTTGGTGTCTACCCAACACGGACGTGCTGGTCTGATTGATGAGCGGAAGGTATTTTCAGACAGCGCTTATCAGGCACGCCACTGAGGATCTGAGTTGACTAGAGTCAATTATCGGGTGATGTCAGGCGATTTTCTCAGATTTATGTCTAAATATATCCGTTTGACAGCAGGCAGCATATGCCTTCCCATATGTTTTGAGAGTCGCCTATACTGTTGTTCAATTAAGGACCATTTCAATGAACATAACCACTTCTGGGCGAGACGCCTGGTGTGGCCAACACTGCACCCTCGGACCATTATTTACGCCTTCAGTAACTTGTGCCACGCCCGCTGTAGGCAGCTTAGTGTGTTTCTGCCGTCACTCCGGAGCGAAGGGCGGAGGTGTTAATGCACTGTTTGTGTTTACCAAGGTGGTGCGGTCACAAGGCGCCCACGTTTAGCTGGCCATGCTTTACGTACGTACGGACTTACGGTGAGGATAAAGCATTTAGTTACAACTTACAATACTTGACCAATGAAGTTCAACGTTCTTGTGAATAATTATTACCTCTCATTGAAAACATCATTTATTCAGAGACTTTAGTCGTTACTAAGTGTATCAATTCTCAGCATTTGGGCCGACGAAATCAGTCCAGAATCGGTTCGGAAACAGTTCGGAACTGCTCCAGCAATGTCCGAGCACCACTGCAGCTCTACTCGGGCCGCCTGGTGACGGTCCCAGCCGACTCTCCCTACCCCCGAGAGCCGGCCGGTGCTGACAGAGCAGAGCACCGCGCTGACCTCCGCGCCGGCTTACCGCCGTCACGCGGATCTTTTACCGTCGCTAACGCGTTTAAGCGGTGTTCTGAGCAACGCTTATCAGTGCAGAGCACCTGGCCGGTCCTAGCGGGCCGACTCGTGACAAACTCTGACCAACGGAATGATACTGGAATGATTCTGCAGTACAACCGCCAGCGGTGGCCATCAGGGCCCGGACCAAAAATTTCGGCAATCCAGCGCCATTCCTGGCGCGGCGCGGTCGGTGGAATGTCGAGAATGGAATGTCGCTCAGAGGCAGGCCGTGAAGTTAACGACCGCAGTTCGACACGTGATTTGGCGAGTTATTGCAGGGCTGTGAGAGCAAGTTTGCACGTGCTTTGCGCAAAGGCGAGCAAATCTGGACGGTTGACGGTGTTAGGAGTGTGAGACAGGAATTGTTACGGCTAGAGCTGACGGCTTGGTGCTAAAAGAATTGAATACAGTGGAATGAAATATCGAC